ACCTTTCAGCCGTGCTTAGCTGACAATACAGAAGTTATAATGGCATGGCTCAAGTACACTCATGTTACTGTATCAAATAACATAAAACTGACCTTTGGTCTGTGCAAAGTAACTTGTCTTGGCTGTGTTTTAGTAGACTAGTATTTTGTAAAATACAGTCAGATTTCAATTATAGCTATTCTGAAATAAGTTCTTAAACAAAGGAGATGACATGTCCTTTCACTCGTGACCCGTATCAAAAGAATTAAAGATAAACAGAGTTGAAGGGAGGTGAAAAGGAAATGGGAAGAAGGGATAATAGTAGTGAAGAGAGAGATTGTGTGCAAGAACCTGAAAATTCCTTTGATTAGCAGAAAACAGAGACCAAAGGTAGGCAAAGTGAGACAGATGTGCACTCACTGGGCTTGACCTGACAGGATAGTCACCAATGAGATGAGCAACAAACATGACGACAGGTAGAAGTGCAATACCTAGAAGCAGAAATGTGAATGGCAAAGCTGAGAAAGATAAGAAACTAGAGAAGATAATGAGGAAATAGAATACAAGTGGTTTGCTCCAAAAGCAGGCAAGGGATTCCAAAGACTAGGAAAATAAAAAAAGGGAAAGGAACAATAGTTGTAAGCCAGGAGAAAAGAATCAAGAAAGCAAGGAGGGTGAGGTATGTAGGTAAAGGTGCAGAGGTTTTATAGAAAGGAAGTAGCACGAGCTCTAATATCAGATGAAGGAGGAAAGTAATCCTGAGAATTGGTTTCATGGAGTAAGTAATGGGAAGAATCAAAAGACAGGAGAAATAGAAAGAAAGGAACATACCTGAGAAATTACATCCAAAAAGAGATTGGAAGGTTGAAGGTTTTTAATGAACTTTGATGCTGGCCAGCAATCAAGACTACACACTTCCACATCATTATTACCTCCATAAAACATTTCCATACACCATCTGTTGAATCATTATTTGAGTTTACATGAGTACAGAGTTTCAAACATTGTTAGCAGGCCCAAGAAAATGATGAATGGTGGTCACTGAAACATTGGGTAGTTTTGTGTTTATCTCTTATGCTGGAGTATTTATCTTTATTTTATCAATTACTAAAATATTCAATGTACCAACAGTATACTTCCTTGTATAATAATGTATCTAATTGTGCTATAAAAATCATTAGTTAGATTTCACTTGGAATACTGTGTACAGTGTTGGTGTCCATATGTAAAAATGAGTTCAGAAGAAGGTTTCTAAGATGATTTTGGGGATTGAAAGGTTATCTTATAAAGATGGTTTAAGACCTTAACTTATTTTCTCTTTAAGATAATAAATATAAAATACAATCTGATTGAAGTTTACAAGATTATCCAGGGGATTAAGAGGATAAAGGCCTTTGATTTCTTTGTGCTATATTCTGAAGATAATATGATGAGAAAACAAAAGTTTATGTTTTTGAATTAATGGGCTAGGCTCAATTTAAGACAGTTTTATTTTTCTAACAGGGTGACTGATTTACAGAAAGAGTTGCCATCAGCAGTACTTGGGTCCAGTATTTTAAAGGAAATTGGTGATTTTCTTGAAAAATAAAGAGTGGTTGTGCAAGGAAAGCCCATAAGGGCCAGATAGTCCTTTGTTGTCCATATGACATGTTATTCACTTGATTAAGTAATCAACTCAAAAACACCTTTGTACCAACTATAGTTCACATCTCTGGAATGGAAGGGACAGGTGTTTATTTGTTGTGTTCACCACAAGGCCAAAAGTCGAAACTATAAGGGGTACCTTAAACTTTGTTTTCATTTTCCAAAGTAGATTTCATATATATATGAAAACAAATGGTGGTTGTTATCTTCAACACATACAGTTATGATGAAAACTAAGATATATATTTAAAATTCTCATGAAATTTCCTATAATTTGACACCTAATATGAGTTTCTACTTCCAATACTTGTTTTTTGAGCATATAGTTAATTAATCATAGACATTACCCATCAACCAACTATTGGTTCTCTATAATTTTTGGAAGTTTTAGTACTATGACCCAATTAGACATAAATATATTTTTTATTACATGAAATAACACTGTATATAAATTTTAAGTCAGAGATGGTGCTGTTTGGTTTCAAGTTCAATATCCAAGTGATTTGTCACAAAGTGAAACTCTTAGTTATGATGAACATTTTATATGGCAATTTATATCTAATAAAATAAGACCATAAATACAGTTATTCATTACTAACAGATATGCAACAACTTACGCATTATTCCACATCTTGAACAGTTGCTAAATGGAAATAAGATCAAACAAGATGATTGCATTAATTCTGAGCTGGTTAAGAAAAAGTTGGGAAGTTTAAAAAATGATAAGGCTCTTGGACCAGATAATATTTCCCCAAGGGTTTTGAAAGAGGTTAAAGATTGGATATGTGAGCCACTTACTACTATTTTTTGTCAGTCTCTGAATAGTATGCTGGTACCAGAGTATTGGAAGTTAGCTAATGTAACTCCTCTTTTCAAGGGAGGTGATAAAAATTGTTCCAATAATTATAGACCCATTAGTCTAACATCAGTTGTGGGAAAAGGTTTGGAAAGTTTGTTAAAAGATGCTTTGCAAAGTAATTTGACAAAGTTTAGAGTTTTATTGTATACTCAACATGGTTTCACTAAGGGAAAATCTTGCCTTACAAATCTTTTGACATTCTTTGAAAGGTTACTGCTTATGTAGATGAGGGTAAGGGTGTAGATTTGGCGTATCTGGATTTTCAGAAAGCACTTGACAAGGTGCCAAATAAAAGGCTTGTAAAAAATTATCTTTATAGATTTGTGGGATAAATTAGCAAATTTGACAGAAGAGTAGCTGGATGGAAGAAAGCAGAGGGCTGTTGCAAATGGAGTTCAGTCGAACTGGATTAATGTCACAAGTAAGGTACCTCAGGGCTCAGTCTTAGGACCTTTGCTCTTTTTGATTTACATCAATTACATAGATGAAGGAATAGGCAATCAATTACTTATATTTGCAGATGATATTAGGGTCTTAGGTGTTGCTAGCTGTGAAGAGGATGCTGCTGATTTATAAAAGGATTTAGATCATTTAGTGAGTTGGGTAAATAAATGGTAGCTGGGTTTTGAATAAATTATAATAAAT